GAGGCACCTTCCCTCGGGCCGCAGCCGCGCGTCTTTGCTGGACCGCCCTGTCTTGCGTGGGATATTTTCAGCCTTTGCGTAGCAGCAAAAGACGGGAAGTGCTTCTAGGACCTCGGACATCCGTGCTGGCAACTCCTGTAGATGCTCCTCGATCCGTATTTAGTCCGGACTGGGGAGAAATGACTCAGTATTTCACAGGAGTCCTGTGGAAGTGTGGCGGTTAACACTTTGTGCCTTTACCAAGTCTATGGTTCAGACGCTCAGAATGTAAGGTCTGAACTGATTACTGATGAGCGGTCTGTGAAAAGGGCCCTGGTTGTCTAGTCACACCCAGAGCTGTGATTAGCTTTTGGCTTTGCCTGATCCGTGCTTGCTTCCTGGTGAGCATCATTTGAAGACTGGCCTTTTTTATATTACCATTTTGGAGAATAATTTAACAGTCTTGGTTTTTGTGTTGTTGTTTTTTAAAGCTTGCTACATTTTGTACATAACCATTGTATTTAAGAGGGAATTTTTTTGCAGTTTTGGCAAGCCTAAGGACTTGTTGAATCTGAAAGATTAGGTGAAAATGTCATCTTCAAAAGTCTTACTCTCTTCTTTTAATATTTAGATTATAGAGTGCTATTTTGGATCAGGAACCAATCTTCAAATTTTGTTTTTCCACATTGTGACGTTCATCCTAAGAGTAGGACTTCATATTTGGATTTTTACTTTAAAACAGTTTTTTTACCGTTGATCACTTTTCCTCGGCACTTTGAGTGCCTGGTGAAACAGCTTGAATTATTGTGCCGTTTTTAATATCTTTGAGTAGTAATCAGCTGCTGCAGTTACTCCCATCTTATTTTATTAAAATAACCCAGTTGCCCAAAAATCTTATTCATGGGAAAAATAAGTGAGAGGGAAAGCTTCCTTGCTGATCAGAGTTGTCCTCACCTAGACTACCCCAACTTTACTGTGCCGACTTATCTACTTAGTAGTGACTTACTGTGAGTTTTGTTTTTAAAGTATAATTCGTTTCTTTTCCTAGTGACTTTGTATGGAGTCTTCACAATCCACTTCTCTCCAAATGTGCCGTCTCGCTGTCTGCTGCTTGAGCTCCTGGATGTCAGCGTTTCAGAATTGCTCTTATATTCCAGTCACCAGGGCTGTTCCATGTGGATGATACAGCACTGTGCCAGAGATGTGCTAGAGGCCCTTGCTTTCCTTCATCGTGAGGGTTATGTCCACGCAGACCTCAAACCACGTAATATACTGTGGAGTGCAGAGAATGAATGTTTTAAACTCATTGACTTTGGACTTAGCTTCAAAGAAGGCAATCAGGTAGGAAATATGTCTCCCACCACCCCGCATCATGATGGTCTAAGCCAAATACTTTTAAATATCAGAGGTGGTTTAGTAGAGGCTTAAGAGAGATTTCTAGCTACAATAATGACATTCCTGGGGGTGAAACAAATAAAAAGATTGTCATTGCCAGTGTGTTAGAAAGTCTACATGTTTGGGTCCAGTTGGGGGAACTAGTGGAATACAAGAGGGCTCTGGAACTGTTAGGAGTAATTCACATGTAGAATATCTTTTTGTTCTTTGAGCATTTGGTTACTTGCTGAATTGCTGGTGTCTGCAGTGTTGGGGGCTCATGGGAAAACGTGTGTCAGTTCTTGCAAACCCCCCCATTGTCTTGATTTGGCAGCTCTTTGCACACTGTCCTTATTTATCAGTAGTGCCTAGCAGGCAAAAGACTAGAGAAACGAGTAGTGCCTGGAAAGTGTACAGCTTACCTGTGAGATCTACCCACCTAATGAACAAAAGAATTAGGGTAGCAAAGGACTAAACATTTTGCATTCAGTTGGCAGCAAACACAGTGTACAGGTGGATAGATGGAAAGTGAGTAGTGTTTTACTGGTTGTGATATTGACTCATCTTTAGGATGTGAAGTATATTCAGACAGATGGGTATCGGGCTCCAGAAGCAGAACTACAGAATTGCATGGCCCAGGCTGGCCTGCAGAGTGACACAGAGTGTACCTCCGCCATTGACCTGTGGAGCCTCGGCATCATTTTACTGGAAATGTTCTCAGGAATGAAACTGAAACACACCATCAGATCTCAGGAATGGAAGGTAACCAGCGCCAGTGCTTTGCTCGGGGTCCCTGTCCCAGTTTCGGATTCTGAGGCTTATAGTGATTCTTGATGTGAGCTTCCCTCCTGTCCTCCATCCCCCACTTCCTGCACTATGGTTCCTGACAGCTGCTCCCCCTCCCACAGCTGCAGACGCGCTGCTGAGCAGTGTGCTCACTGCCTGGCCTGGCCTGGCCTGGAGTCAGTGCTGGAATGAATGTCTTTTCCCAAAGAAGCAAAAATGATTTGTTTAGTAATTTAGTTATACTACTTTCTAAAGTCATAAATACAACAGTATATTATAAGTTAAATGCTATTCTTTACATTATGCTTACAGTTAATGCAGTTGAAGTATTTTCATGCAGAGTCTCATTGAATTCTCCTGACAATTCTGTGAGGATGGTCCGAGTGGATATTGGTTACTCTGTTAAAATGAACTAGAGGCTCAGATGTGGGAAACCACTGGCTCTCGATCATGCGACTGTCTACCCACTTCGGGTTCTATCCACACTTCTGCACGCTTCCTACTCATTTGTCCTCCATGTGTGCGCTTTCCTGGTAACATGACTGCTGCTTACAGCATTGTTTCTATGGGAACATGCTCTGAGTTCTAAACCTCTGACTCCAGAACGGACTTTCTTTATGTTCACAGGTTAGGAATTAACTGCCCTGTGTCTTCAAACACATTCTGGGGCTTTAATGTTGTGATGATGTTTGTATTCTCCAGGCTAAAGGTTCAGTGAGTACTACGATGTTTAGGAATTATGGGTTTGATAGTAAGTGTCTGATACATAGTGTGTGGCTGTTAGGCCATACAGAGCAGCAGTTCCTGGAAGGAATGCTTTAATAGCCTAGTGGGTGTACAGTATGCTTACTTTTGGCAAAAACAAAAAGCTGCCATGTGAGTAAAACCAGTATCCTTCTTTGTCGTTGCTACTGGCAACAGTCAGGAGGCTGAGTACCTTTTTCTAGTGTCACCCATACAGATCAGTTCCTTGCATTGGCTTTGACTGTCTGAGCCCTTTGGACTCTTCTTCTTGGGCCAGAGCCGATCAGAACTAGGTCATAGTCAGACATTTTTTGGTGAAATTTGGAGGCATGATATGTACTAATAGAATTCCCAGTATTCATTCCTAGATAAAAACATTCTGTATTTCATCACTTTCTCTGGAGGCAAAATTTCCGAGTGTAAATGTAGGCTCTGAAGTCAGGCTACGAGAGTTCATACCTTGCCTCCAGCTCTTACTAAGTTATTTATTTAGGTTCATGAAACCATGGTTTACTTTCTGTAAAATTAGATTGATGGCCTATGTCTCATAAGAGTGTCGAGGTTAAAAAAGAAATGCCTGGTTCTTAGCACGTGTGTGCCTGTGGGACATATTCAGGAATTTTAGTGGTAATGATGATACCGGGTCTTTTTACTCATGTACGTACTTCCACAGTGCTCAAGGAGACGGTTATGTCTGACGAGAACTTAGAGTATGAGACATGCAGTTTTTAAATTGTGTCGTATTCTTGACAGTGCATTTTATTTCTACCAGAAGACCAACTGCAGACTTGGCACTGAGCCACAGCACACCCAGCACACCTGCCCTTGCTCACTTGCACTGAGCTGCGTTCTCACGTGGCTGCTTTGCTGTTTGTTTCTTCTTCCGTCCGATGAATGCTGCTAGAGGGCCAGGTGCTGAGGACAGGACACGTGAATGATTCTGTACATAATCTCCTCTACTGAAACCTTGAGCTGGCAGAAGAGGGGTTTTCTCTTATATTGGACTTACCAGTTAATGCCTGGTACTCAGGAAATACTGAGTTGAATAACCAGAGGAAGACTTTCCCCCTCTCTTTAGGCAAACAGTTCTGCTGTCATCGATCACATATTCGCCAGTAAAGCAGTGGTGAATGCCGCAATCCCAGCCTATCACCTAAGAGACCTTATCAAAAGGTATGTTATCTGTACTTCAGCTTTGTTCCTCACTGAATAAACTTATGCTCTTACTTCTGGTTTCTTGATCATGTAGAGGTTTTTCTCCCTGAGAAATAAAATCTCCTTGAGATCTGCACAGGTCAGCTTCCTATGAGAACACAAGTGATCAAGGCTTTTGCTAAATTTATTTCCAAAGGAATGTTCTTTTGCATGGGAGTCCCCGGTAGCGGGCTCTTCCTGGCAGCTGTTTATTCAGCGGAGATGGTGATGGGTTGTTGTATCTTTGGCTTCTGGTAACCCTGGCTGTTCTGTATGCTTGATGGAAAATAGGTTTTTAAAGAGAGTCTTTATAAACTAATGACTAAGTTTTCTTTGGACTACCAAAAAAGTTTCAAATGAGGTCCTGTGTATTATACTTCAAATAACTACCATTGAAAGCTGTGGAGACAGAATAGTGTTTCTGGTTCCAGAGTAGATCTAATCACAATACATATTTTAAAATAAGAAATGTATATTATCAAATAGTTATTTTTCTCAGTTCTAGCATTTATGGTCCAGAAAGTAATAAAGTAATTAATATTCGGTTAAATGAAGGAGCTGCAAAAGGGTGGGTCCCCTGACCAGGCCAGGGTGGCGTTTCTCTGGAATATTGAGCCTATAAATCTTCCAGTTGGGTGTTGTCTTTTTCACTTTTTATTTTGAAATAATTATAGATACATACATAGCAACATGCAAAAATGTTGCAGAGATATCTGCCCTTCAGCCAGTTTCCCCAGTGGTAACATTTTACACAACTGTGTGTTGGACAGACCAGAAGTTGACATTGTAATGTATGGACTGGTTTCACTGCAAGACAAATTAGGTCTAAATGGCTGTTAGTATCTGATGTCAGGCATCACATGTTGCATTTTACCTTGGAAAAAGGCAGTGTAAAGTTATATAAGGGATTCTGTACAGTTGAAAGTAACTCAATGTTGTATGCCAACTATCATTTTAAAAAAATGGGGAAAAAATTATATAATGGATTATTTTATTATACAACCAATACTAAATTTGGAAGCTACAGAAAATTGTGATGAGGAAAATAAAGCTACACACCCCTTTCTAGTGTTGGCACTTGGTGTCCTGCATCTCACGTTCTCCTGTGCACTTGCTGTGTGTTCAGGCCCCTTATTCGAGCTGTTCACTGTAGAATTACACAGACGTGAGAACAAATGTGCAGTTCAGTGGGCCTCCAGGAATCGCCGTGCCCACTGTTAGGTTGAGAAACATAGCTTTTAGGTAGCCTGGAAGCCCTGTGTCTCCATCCCAACCTGAAGCCCCTTCCTCCCCTGCAAAGTAACCACTGCCCTGACTTCATGCTGATTACTTCCTTTTTTCATTATAGATTATTACCCAAGTGTGCATCCTTAAACACTATGGTTTAGAGTCATTCTTCTAAAAAACAGTCCCTTTAAAATCTTTTAATCTAAAAATCCATTTTCGTCTCCTACCCCCTCTCCTGTGTTTCTCTGTTGAACAGCCATGGCATTGGCTCCACGAAGTTGCCCACAGTCTGAATTTTGCAGGTTGTGTTGTGTGGTGTGTGTAGTTCAGCACAGTTCTCAGATTATTTCTTGTGAATTGCTGATTGTATCAAGAGGGTTGGAATTTTAAGTAATTTTTGCGGGACTGTGCCCTTTGACAAGGAGGCACTGTAGCCACCTCTGCCATATGCATGAACCTTATCAGTGCTCCTCATCTAGATACTCACTGGGGGATGCTCTAATTCTGCCATCGGTGCTTCACGTAGTTAACAAGTGTACGGGACATGCTTGATCCCTCTCTTCCCTGGTTTTGTGACTAGTTGATGCCCTGTCATCCTCCAAAGGGGGTCATACCCTCTTTGAAACTTGGAAGTATCATTATTAACTAATGGGTTTAATATATTTGATGTGTATTTGATGCAGTTTCCTCCTGATCGAAGCTGTGTGTCTGGTGGAGGGAGCCTCTACTGGTTCTGGAGGACCTTGTTACCATGTTTTCATTACTTCCTTGCTGTCTGCTGGGACAGGCTGTTCCCAGTTCACCTCTCACATGTCCTGCCCAAACCTGGAAGCAGATGTTTCTCCAAGAAGCATGGTTTCTTTTAGTAGGAAGTGGTGTTTTAAAATCACAGTCTGGGTATTAGGTACACTCATTGGTACTGGGTGGTCATTGTGTTTAGGCTTTTTAAGGGAACAGAGGTCAATACTGATAGCTGCAGTTCAGACTCAGGACAACCAGTTGCGTCTTCTGTTTTATGTGTCTACTTTCTTCTGTGTCAACAGTTCTGGCTCTAAGCACAAAGGGGATGTGGAATTAGAGTACTTCTTAATCATTCATTTGCTTTTTGTACTGGTGGAATCACACTGCAGCAGCCTCAGCAATGAGAGCCGATATTCTCGGGTTAGATACTGAATGCAAGTTCTGTGCTTGCCTTCTGGCCCTTCCCCCATTGGAACTGGAGATGTATCCGCACCAGGAGGTCACGTGCCCACTGCTCTGACAGTCATCTGACATCGGTTGTTCATCTGAGTGTGTATTGACTGTGGCACCTCTGCTCCTGTGTCTCGTCTCTGTGGTCATTGCAGATCAGCAGTGTCTGAGTGCCCACTCGTTACTGCATGTTCTCTTACACACTTCTCTTTTCCTGAGTGTCCTAACCATGTCATTGTGCAAAAGCCTGATGGGTGAACAGTCTTTATACTAAAAATCACTTTGTTTATCTAAATGCCTGAAGGATTTCATCTTTTTCTTAAAAGTCTAGTGATTTTATCAGAATGTATCTTGATTTTGGTTGTTTGGGGTCAATGTTCTCAGGAAGCGATGCTGTTTCAGATCTTGCTGTTTGTTGTATTTCAGTGACAGTGTCAGCGTGTTTCCTGTCCTCAGTCTGCTCCTCTCCTTCAGGCTTCCCTACTGCAGGAGACTGGGCTTTCTGTATCTTCAGTACTCATTTTCTCTTCAATCTTTATCTCTTTATTTTTGATTTTTAAAATTTTTCTTCCTGTCTTTTATTTTTAAGACATTATCTCTTGTGTTTATTCATTTTTGTATCTCTTCTGTTAGTTCATGAAATGACTTTTTTATTTCTCATTCTTAACTAGGTTCTGTTATCTAATTGGCTTTATTAAGTGATTCATGAATTGGACAGCATCCCATCTAGCTCCTAGAATGGTGCTCCTTGTGTGGCCCATTTTTATGTAAAATTCATTTTCTTACATTTACAGCAAAAGGTGTAGTTGAGTCAGCCTTCCTAATATACAGGGCTCCTCCTCCTGTTGTTTTGTGTACTGTTAAAGAAAATGTGGTGGGTTTTTCCTGAGATTTCCTGTTTCTTCCCCTCCCTTACTTTTTTCCTGCTTCCTCTGCCTCCCTTCAGCTAGTTGGTGCTGAGAGGTCCTGGAGCCTAGGTTAGTTACTCCAGCCCCTTTGGTCTCCCAGGACCCTCACTCTCACCTGGAGTTAGGATGTGAAGCCCTTGTACTTTCAGCTGCTTTTCTCAACTTGTGTTCCTTCGTTGGCTGTTTTGGGTTATTCTTTGCTCTGGTTCATTAGATCAGCTGTTGCTTTTCTATGCTTCCTTCCACAAAGATGCCCAGTGGGGCCAGTCTCACCACTGCATGGGGCTGTCCCTCGCCTCTTCTATTTTGGCATTTATCAAGGTTACCTAGTGTTGTAGATGATGTTGGTGGGTTTTTGATTTTGCTATCAAGTTGCTCTATTTTTGACAAGATTCAAAAATCACCTCACCACTATCTTTCTCAAATTGGATTTGTCAGTCTGTTTAGCTTTCCTTTCACTTAATATTATAAAGTGTAGATCACTTTGTCATATATGTGTTAATCAGAAGCATTTTAAATTAACATATTGTGTCCTAGGTTTGTGCCATGATTTATTGACCCATCTGTTTATAAATAGCATTTCTGTTTTTACAAATGAAGGGTTCAGCAGTCACACTAATGTAATTAGTGCTGCGATGAACTTAGCTTTGTCTTCCTCAGTGGTTGCTTTTCCAGGAGGATTGACGGTGGTCTGTGTTTCAGCATGCTGCACAACGACCCGGACCGGAGAACCCCTGCGGAGGTGGCTCTGGGCAGCCCCTTCTTCAGCATTCCTTTTGGTGAGTTGTGTACAGTTTAGTCCTCTCTTGGTCATTTGACAAGCAGATAAGACAGCAGAACTAATGTATGTCCCCAAGCTCCCCTGTCTGGTGGTCACTGATTTGTTTAGGGAGCTTACAACTGAGAATGTCATAATGGATCCCAACAGCCCCTCACATCGAGGACCTGGTGATGCTCCCAACCCCGGTGCTGAGGCTGCTCAATGTGCTGGACGGTGACTACCTCGAGAGCGAGGAGGGGTACGAAGGTCAGTGCTGCCTTGGCTGGGTCTTCATGTCTCTTAACAAGTCTGAAGTAGACGCATCTCTCCAAGATTCTCAGACCTTCCTAGTTATACAGTGAGGACATTGAATTCTGTGATCTCTCAAATGCTCTCACTTTTGATTCTTGCTGTAGATTATGCCCCCCCCAGAGTTCATGTGGCAGAGCCCTGTTCCCCAATGTGATAGTATTTGGAGTTGGAGCAGATTTGGTAAATCTGAAGGTAGGGTATCATGCAGAAGGGCAGAGCATGAGCGATCTGTAGGGTGTCTTGGCAAAACTGCATCTGAGCCCCTCAGTAGTTGGCTGAGGCTGAGGGTGGGGAGAAAGCAGCCCAGAAACCTGCGGTGAGGGCAGCTGTGGCCGTTTAGAGAGCATCAGGTGGTTTGGTGCAGTTACATTGTAGGGGAGCAGTTTGCTGTGTTGAAGGACTTGGATCTTATCCCAGAGGTAGCAACCCTGGAACATGTACTGCACAGAGCTTTGCGTCAGGGACACAGTGGTCTGTGTTATTGAATGAAACAGAGGCATGACAGGTAAAGTAGGAGAGTGATGGAGTCAGACTTGTGCTTTCGTAAGAGTGTTCTGGAAGCACAGTGGTGAGCGGACTAACCAGGACCAGCCTGAAAAATGGCACCTGTTTAGTGTGAAGCCTTTTCTTTGTGGATAACCAAACCATTGGCTAAGTTAGGCAGGGCTAACTTACCACCCTGTTTCTTGTCGTGTAAATCATATGAGTCCCCAGGGTTTGCATAGTTATCTAACAGATGAAACAAATACCATTTCTTCGAACCTGTGACAGTTGTTAGTATCTGCAGCTTGACTTTCAGGACATCCTTGATCTGAAAGCATGCCATGCCCTCCATGCTGCTTTAGTTAGGCTCCTAACTAAAGGAGGCAGAGTTCCCCTCCTAATGGTTTCCATCCTTACAAACTCAGGTGCGGCCTACGTACACCGAGTGTTTTAATGTTGTTTGAATGTAGATATTGAGTCTTTGTGTTAAAGAGTCTGGCATGATCACCTTTGTTCTGATTAGAAGGTCATCGTCAGATTATATTACATTAGTTTTAGGTGAGTTTGCTTAGTTATCCTGTGTGGGAAGTCTTGTCATCTTTGTGGGATTGGGTAAGGAAGTGAGATTCAAATCTTCCCCTTTAGACCAAAATAAATTCTCAGTCAAGTGAAGACTGAAATATTAAAAAACGAACAAAAAAACAACAGAGAAATAAGGGAGGGAATAAAACAGATGGATGGAAAAGGAGGGAGGGAGAGAGGGAGGGAAGACAGGCGGGAATAAAGGAAAAACAAAAGTCATGGGAGATTTTTAAAAATAATATTCCTGGAGCAGGAAAGGCCTCTTACAAGTTTATCACAAAACTCAGAAGCAGTAAAGTGACAATTCAGCAACTACCTTGACAGAAGACAAAAATCATAGTCCAGGAAAAAATAGTCACAGCTCTTACCAGGGACAGAGCCCCTGTAAACCCACCCAGGAGACACACACAGACCATCTGGAGTATCTCACCTGTAGATTTCATTCTCACTTATTGAAATGCTCATCAAAACCATACTGTGATGCCTGTGACCCATCACACTGACAGTGGGGACCGTCTGTGGGGAAGTAGGGAGGACACATCGTCATAGGTCCCTGCAGAGAGCCGATGTTGGTGAACCTTGATGAAAGGTGATGCTAATGGAATTAATATCAGTTCAGGCCTAGGAAGGTGGTGTAGAAATACACAAATTAAATGAGATCTGTACACATTTGTCTATTACAGATTGTTTATAAGGCAAAGGACTTGGAAGGAGGTTAATAATTCAGCAGGAGGCATATTAGAGACTCGATCAACCATTCATAGAGTGAAATACGACACAGCCGCAAAACAAATGAAATATTTCATATGATATTGAAAGATCTTAAAAGATTTCATGTTAATAAAGATTGGAATTTTTTCACTTAAAAACGTGATCATATTTGCGTGTATGAATTTATATTTATGGAAGGGTACAGAGGAAATGATAATGTTTGTTGACTTCAGGGAAGGGCTGGAATAGAAGTTGGAAAGTGGGAGGAGGACTGCTTTTTTTAGAATTTTTTATTTTGAGTCATTTGGCTGTATTAACTATTCAGAGCATTAAAATATAAAAAGAAAACTATTAAGTGTATTGAATTTATATTATAATTAAGCTTAATTTTCAAAGCTCTAGAAAGTGATCTCATTATTTAAATATGGACTCCTGACTTTGTTGACGATGTACTGTTTTTAATGAATGGATCTTGTTAATTCCACTGAGTGGTGCTGTGTTTGAAAACGCAGATGCTGTAGAAGATGTGAGGGAAGAGTGTCAGAAGTATGGGCCGGTGGTATCTTTGCTGGTTCCAAAGGAGAGCCCTGGCCGAGGACAGGTGAGTGGGTGTTCTTGTAGCTCCATTATTCGTGACTGAAATTCGCTACAAGGGATTTTAGTTCTATAGAAAATGTAGACAAAAGTGTTGGTAGCGATTATGAAGTTTTCATTATGGAGGCTTTATTTTCTTGTACTTTGCACTTTTTTCCAGAAGTTCTATAATATGCATGTATTTATCAGTTAGTATTAGTTTTTAAAAAAGTATTAATCTTTGAGCCATTGTAAACAGTAACACCAATGGAATCATATGCTAATTTAGGTCAGGTTCAGTACAGAAATATTTTGGCCCAATTTGTTCTAATTAAATAGAGTTAGAAAGCCATTTCGGTTATATTCTGATCATAACAAAATTAACCAGCCATCCGACTTCTGTGACTAATTCAATGTGATTAGTTTTGTGGCATTCCTTAGTTTTTTCATCTATGAAATGTATGGGCTAAAACTAGGATCACAGAAATTTCTTTAGAAACTCTGTGATTCTAAATTAAATTATATGGCAAAGAAGATAGGAGAAATCTTCCTTTTGTCTGTAGTATTTTTATTTTCAGGAAACAGAACATTGTTTTACTGTGTCAGTTTCCCAGCTCGACATCTTTGACACGCTCTCTTGACACACGGGTACTTCCTGCTGGGGCTGTTGTGGGTGCTGTGGGCTGTCTCATTGGGTGGGGAAGGGGACAGACCAGGGAAGAGAATTCCAGGCAGAGGGCACAGGGGTTCCAGGGTGGAGTGTGCTGGCATGTGAGAGGGTCAGTGTGACCTCAGAATGGGAGTGGAGAGAGCAGGTGAGATCACAGAGATGTGGGCTGGCAGGCAGGCTGAGGCTGGAGGGGATGAAGATTTTGAATTGAGGATCAATGTGGTCAACCCCGTATTAACCTCTGGTCAGAAGGAAATGGAAGCCCAAATAGAGAAGCAGGAGGAGCATTTTCAGGGGGGTGTCGAGCTTCAAGGTGACAGGGACAAAGGAAGTCTCCTGCAAAAGGAAATTTGCTGCGTTGAGAAGCTTCCCTGAAGTTTTCACTGAAAGAAGACTGACTGCAATGTGGTAACTTGGAATCCCAGGTTTAACTCCTTCTGGTATTTAAACTGTTATCTGAATATCAGGTTTAACTCCTTCCGGTTTTTAAACTGTTACCTGAATCCCAGGTTTAACTCCTTTTAATTTTTAAACTGTCTGTTCCCGGATTACTCATCCCTGACCTGGTTCAGCACAGAGGAGCCTGTCCCCTCAGATCTGCAGATTCACAGGGTACTGCAGCCCCCCCAGACTGTGGACCCTGTACAAGGACACGGGTCCACAGGAGCCACCTCAAAAAACTTTCTGTGGTCGTATGGAGTCCTGTACTTGGGGATTTTCAGGTTGTAATCATGTAAGTTGTACATAAGTTTTAGTTCTGCCAGCAGTTCAACACCAGAGGGAGGTCTTTGCACCAGAATAGAGTCAAGGAACCAAAAGCAAGTTTCCAAAGTCAATGTTGAGTCCTCAGTCCTACACCCTCCTCAGGTCAAGCACCCTTTTTTTGAACACCACAAGGTTCCCTAATCTGACACTGTTGTCAGCACACAGTAGCCAGGCCACATCTCACTGCAGTCCCTGTGTTCCTTCACCTCCATCCTGATTTCTTAGTTCTACTGACCCTCAGGCCACTTTGTACTTCCTCCTGATAGTCACTATTAAGGTGATCTGCGCCTCACCCAGCCAGTCTCCCCCGGATATTACAGTCACTCCAGCCCACACCCCTGTTCATGGAGCAGCATGGACGGCTTCCATATTCTAGTTCTGGCCTTGTGGGAAGGAAGCGGGAGGCTGTGGGACAGTGTTTATAAATTCCACAGTAGTGTCCAGTGATGTCCTGGCCTCCACACTCACCCTGGACTCACCCAGAGCAACTTCCCTCCTGCAGGTTCCATTCATGGTCAGTACCCTGCACAGGTGCACCACTTTTATCTTCTCTGCAGTATTTGTGCTGCACCTGTTCTGTTTAGATGTGTTTAGGTGCACAAGTACTTACCACTGTTGGTCCCTTACCTGCAGCACAGTAACCGGCTGTGCAGGCTAGCCCAGGGTGGTAGGCTTGCCATTCAGGTGTGTGGAAGGGCCTGTGATTGCAGGAGGAGATTGCCTTATGACTCATTTCTCAGCAGGCAAAGCAGGATGGCATTTGGAAGTTATCTCCTCTTTTCATGCCCTGGAGGTTTTCACACCCTAGAGAAGTAACTGCTCTGTCCAGTGGGAGAAGGGCTCCTATGCAATGGAAAGGCTGCCTTAGGTAGATCTGATTTAGGAAGATCTGATTTAGGAAGAGATGTGGATGAAAGCGGGGAACCTAGAAGCCCATTTCCTAAACCGTCGTTCTTGCCTGCCTGTGGAAGTCTGTGCCTGCAGCCTGGTCCTGGTGACATAGGTGAGGACAGAGAGGCTGTCCTCCTGGCCACAGACTCCGGATGACTGAGGAGGTGTCATTTCAGGTCACCTCCCTCCTGTGACTTTAGCTTTAGATTAGCAGAGAACCTGTAAGTTGTTAGGCTGTGTCCTCTACCTGTTCAGGTAGGGATTCAGATGCTCTGGAAGAGGATGTTACCTTCCTTCCTGCAGTGATGGCTTCTACACATCTTTCCTACTCTTCCCTAAGTTGGGACTGTTCCCGAGGCGCCTGAAGGTGCTCTGGGCTGCTCCGCCCTGTCTTTGGCACTCCTTTGTAAACTGGGCAAGAGGCTGTATGTTGTCACTCAACTGGTCTGTGTTGGACATTTGGAATCAACAGTTCTAAGGAAGTGTTCTAAATCTTGCTGCCCAAAAATGTGGTCCCTGGGAGTCTGCCTGGACATGGGAGTCGGGTAGAATTGTGGTTCCATGGCAGCTGGTGGAAATGAGGTCTCTGTTCTCTGTCTCCTCACAGGTCTTTGTTGAGTATGCAAATGCTGGGGATTCCAAAGCTGCACAGAAGTTGCTGACAGGAAGGATGTTTGATGGGAAGTTCGTTGTGGCCACGTTCTACCCACTGAGTGCCTACAAGAGGGGGTACCTGTATCAGACCTTGCTTTAATCAGCCACCATGGGAGACGTCCTGTTTCTCTTCTTCCACTTTCTGGGTTATTGTATTCTCACCCAAAGGCAGGAGCACCCCTTCCTGCTGTGAGGGGACCTTGTACATGTGTTTCACCTGCTCACGTGCGGCTGTTGCTCAAGCTGTGCCTGCACTGCAGACATGGGCCACCAAGCAGGACGGGGCCTCTCCTGCTGCGTGCAGCCTCAGACCCTCATTATTGCATGTGATCGTGAGGCAGGAGTGGCGGAGTGGTGATGTCACCTGCACAGCCCTCCTCTGTTGTCCATGTCCTTGGTGGGCACTGGAAGCTCTGGTGTTGCCTACTTGTCCCACACTGAGTCACAGATCGTGGAGAAGTCCTGTAGTGCTGAGTAGTCCTCTAAAGAAACTGCAGTGAGCCGATCTACATGATTTAAAGTAAGGCTTTTAAGCTAGAAAGCTGATACTTGATGTTGCACAACCTTTTGTCTGGTGTGTTTGCTGGAGTGATTGCAGGCATGAGAGAGAAAACCTGAGTTGGGTTCTTTTCCTGTGAGTCCTGTGAGTGGATCCCACCCACACCCACCTCTTCCTTACCTGTGTCATACCTGTAACATTCAGAGTGTAAGTTTTTTGAGAGTTGGCCTGTGTGTTAGAAGGTAAATGAGAAATTATTTCATTTCTGAGGCTCAGAACAAATGAGTCTGGGCTGGGTTCTGTTGAAATCTCTTAATTTAGTGGTTGGATCAGAAGAATAGTTCTGCCTTGTGTGGCTGCCCACTGTCTGCATCAGACCCTTGTGTGAGCTCATCTCTATTGAATCTGTGATCACTGTTAGCTTCCTCAAGGTGTAGTTCTCCCTGCTGTGATGGAAAACTGTAGTGGTCAAAAAAGGAGTTTGCTGTTCAGTGAAGGGAAAATAAAAAACAGTTGACAGAGGGTAGGTGACCAAGAGGTCTTCTGTTCCTGCTTCTCTCCCCTCCCCCATCTCTGCCCCCTCCTTCCTTCTCTGATGAGAAGCCAGAGGAACCTCGTCTTACGTGTTCTGGTTTGGAAGACAAGGGAGTTAAGAAAGGTGTAGCTGTTCAGGTGGAAGTCAGAAGGAAGGAAAACTGCTGAGTAGAGGGTGCTGGGCTGAGGTCGGGGACACGGGTGATCACAATTTCCTGTCACTTTATGGTAGATTGTCTTTAACGGTTTAAAATGTAGGAAACCTTTATAAAGCACTGATTGTACAAAAAATAGTAGTGTACAGAGTATGCATTTTTTTGTTTCCTTACCTAAATGAGATTGCTATTTATTTATTTTTTCCTAAGGAAGTGGTCTTGTGCATCTTTCCCGCTGGAAGCCTCCTGTGTTTCCATGCAGGCCACTGAGAGCCAAATGCAACTTACATTCAGAGGGTGAATTCTGTTCCCTGTTTAAGAGCGATGGACAGTTCAGTTACTGGCTTACCCAATTATCTAGGCTCTTTCTTAATATTATTGTGAAGCCAAATCTGGTATAATGGGCCGGTTTATGAATTGCCAAGGCCTGTGGCATGGTCCCCGGGGGAAGGTACACAGGGAGCTTTGCACGTGTGTCTGTAGAAGGAAGAACTACGAGTTTTCCTTTTGGCCCTTCCAGAGGTTGATCAGCTGACTTGTTTTCAAATACCAATTCAAGAGAGTATAACCAGTGTGGTGGAGACCTGAGCATTCCTAGAACAGTGTGTGTGGGTGGCAGCTTCCACTGTGATTACAAACACCAGGGTTCTTCCGTACATAAAGATGAACGCAGAATACAAGGGACTTCTTTTCAAGGGCAAGTATTCTAGGGAAGCACGTGTACCCCGCCATCAAAAACCAAATTCTTAGAATATTGCAGGTGGGCTTCCAGGCTTAGTGATGCAGGAGGCTGGCAACGTCAGTGCTGCATCTCAGCGTTCTTCAGTTATCGCCTTAGTGCTGTGTATTCAAACATGTATGTGGTGTTTAACACTAGGATTTTATTACAGAAGATGCTAACTAGGTTATGAGGGGCTGAGGGAATACTCGATGAGCCTAAGTAACCATTTATTGAATTAAGTATTTTATATTAAAGTCATAAAGTTGAAAAACGATGCCTCCTATGATTTAAATTATTTTATTTCCTAGCTCTTAGCCCATTACTACCAAAGATATTTGTAGGTTCTCCCTCTTCTCACATGATTAGAAGTTCAAACTTAGTATCTTTCTTAAACTTCAACCAAACACATCCACAGAGATTTAGATCCTTTGAAATTATTAAAAGCCTAGAAATTTTCTTTTTGAGAGTTCAGGGTGAGGGGTCATTACTTAGCCCTTACCCTTTTGGGAAAGTTTGATCTCAGGTAGTTCTTTCCTGAATTAGTATCTGTGCTTTTCCTTCCCTCTCCCTCCCCAGTTTCTTCTCCATTGTTCATGGTGTCCTGGTGGATTTCTGCCCAGACAAAGCCTGTGAATTGGTTTGTCTAGGGATTGTTTTGATGGTTTGCAGAGACATTTTGGAGGTTAGTAGGTAGCACCTCCTAGCGTGGAAGCCTCTGAGAAGACAAGCATGAGGCAGCACTGGCTGTGGATGGAGACGAAACCAGCTTCTGCAGTGGAGGGTGCATCTTGCCTGGTGTCCTCCTGTGGGCAGCCCCACAGCGCTGAGAGCTCCCTCTGCTGGGCCTGGTGCAAAGCTGCGGCTGCTGCAGAGCAAGCCCCAGCCTGGAGGAGCGTCTTCTGGAGGCGGGTGCTGGGAATTCAAAGATTGTTGGAAAGGTCCATTATACTAGGTTTATATTTAACCTTTGAGCAAATTTATTTTAAGGAATGCTGCTAGAAACATTGCTGCCATGGGGAGGAGACTGCTCCGAGGTGATTCCCTTCTCAGTACCTCGGGCTTCCCGTGCTTGCCCACCAGGCCAACTCTGGAATGAGTCACAGCACTCACCTGGCTCGGCTTCAGCTTGTCATCAAATGCGGGACTTGGACATTTTGGCCTCATTGTCGTCTTAGGTTTTATTTTTGACTTTATGAAGTTAAACCTGTCTTACGTAATTACTATCAGTTACACCTGGCAGTGTGACTTTTTTTGTACTTTAATGAAAACCAATACCGTAGTAGCTGGTAGTAATGTAACAGTTTCTGGGGGAGGCGCTCAGGAACCTAGGGTGTCATGCTGGGGTATGTCTGGGTGGCTTTGTTCAGGGTAGGGCGCAGATGGGATCCCCTCAGACTTAGTTTGTGAGTGAGCGGGTGTCAGAGGTTTAAGCAAGTGCCTTGTTTCCTGGAAAACATTGAAACTCATTTGCATGAAAGCTTCCCAGATGGGGACAATTAACTGCACTCCCCTGGCTTTTCCTTGGAATAACTTTGGGTGGAGTCACAGAGTAAAAAGTCCAATATTTCCTTGGTTTACCTTTGTGTGTGTAACACTATTTATATTTAATTTCCCATAATATTATGCTTGGTAGAAAGCCAGAGCTACCTGGTAGAACCTGATTCTTCCTTGGATCTATTTCCATTTCTTATATTAGGCCCCTCCCAATCCTGTCCCGCTAGTTCTCTGATACAGTTCATGTCTCTCTTGTTAGGTGTGCTCACATCCAGACCAGCCCAGCTCACATTTCTTCTCAAGGTGCTCAGTGCATCACCTTCACATTGAGGGGGCAGTCTTTTCATGCTAGTCTGGCTCACTGTCTTTTTCAGTGAGGATGAAACGCTGCATCTGCAGGCCAGGGAGCCCTCTGAGCAGTGCGCCGGGATAGTTCCATTTTCTTAGCTGCAGGGAGCGTGGGCATTTTAGTTTCTGAAGCACTGGAATTTGGGAGATTTTGTTTTGCTTTGTTTAGGTTAGATTAGCTACTTACCTGGCACGGGGATGATCATATCTGTTGTCTCATGTTTTATGTTAGACTGTTGTTTAACTTGCAGGATGACCAGTGGATTCACACAGTGGTGCACCGTTGACAAGTACTGTGGGTATTTAAAAAGAAGGCAAAACAATTTTAACTATTTTTGCTGCAATTTTATAGGAGCAATGGTCTGTAAAAAAAAAAAAAAAGTATCTGTAAACCAGAGGGCATTTAGGAAATTTTATGTTTTATAGGTGGCCATCAAGGTGACAGTCAGGATTATAAGGTATATTGTTTACACAACCACTGTTTTTCAGATAAACTTTCATTTATCTTCCTGCAGCTCAGCACTTTGGTTGTTTCTTGCTGTGCTTTTATGAGGATTGACGTTTTAAATTTGATTTACTTGTGCTTTTTAGAGAGTTGTCATAATCATGGCATATATGTTTGTGGCTCCATAAATTGTGGAATTTAGGGAAACTTATCAAACTACTGCCCGAGTGTTATCTCCACTGAGTAGAGTGGCTGTCACAGTCTGGGGAGCCAGGTGTGCTTCCTGACCTATGTTTGTAGCAGTTTCAGTGCAAGGCAGAGAGAAGCATTTTGTCTTATTTTCCTTAATGACCATTAATCCTTGTGCAGAGAAGAGCTTATTTTGTTAATGAAAATAAGTCACATTCTGGATAAAAAGAAAAACCCAAACTGAATTGTTAATTCTTCTGTTCCTTTTTGGGAAACCTGTGTAAACATCAGAGTTGTAAACTCTGATTGTCAGCAAGAGAATTATTTGTAGGAACTTTCATATCCCGGGTTGGAATCGTCTTCTGCTGCTAGGTGATCCCCTGAAATAGTGTGATGTCAAGACAGTGTGTGTGCAGGGGCAGGGCGTAGCATTGGGCATGCGCACACAGGTCCCTGCTGTGGTGTGATTTTGTGCAGCTGCATTTGTACTGGTGTGGCTGTCAGAACTCTGCCGTTCAAGAGCAAGGAAGAGAAAGATGAGTAATAGCAACAGTGGTGAGGGGAGGAAATGGCTTCCTTGCTGGTATCACTGACCTTCCATAGAGTTTATGATCTAAAAATGAGACTTCATCTTTCAAGCCCAGGCTTGGGTCCTATAGCATAGAAGCATTGCCTTTCCTACACATTCCTCATTGTCGTTTACCCTAAAAGTTATTACAAGAGTGTGTGGAGCCAGATTGAAAACCATACTCAGTTTGGTCTAATTTTTAAAAATAAGTATTTGAAGCCCAGCTTTTGTGCACTCGGTGCACGTCAGTGCTCATGTGAACCAGGTGAGGATGGACCCAGGACGGGCCTGTCTCGAGCTCCCTGTGTACTGCAGGTGGTGGCGCCTCATGGCGGGAGCCATGCTGGTTTATTACGAGAGAGCTGAGCTGCCCATCTGTAGAACAGCTGCTTTGCAGAGCTGCCACACCTTTCTGCAGGGTTTACTCCATCATTTTTTCATTCTTTTCAAAAAACCTAGTAATTTGACATTCCTTTATGTGCTCTCAACAGCGTCCAGTCTCGAGTGGGAGGACTTTCCCCAGAGAGGCCTCTCTGTCCTCTTTGGTCACGCGAGAAGCCCAGTGTGATTGTAGGTTGTCACGGCATGTGGCTTCCTGCAGCAACACTGGAGTGCTTGGCTGTGAATGTCAGACCCGCTCCTGTGTTCCCTCAGTAACATGTACTTGCTGTGTTTTTGATAAGAATGTATGGCTGGGAAAAATGTGGAAGATCACAAAGCCTGTGGGGTTACCTTTGCCGGAGATCTACAGGACTGCTGCGTGTGACTGGTTGCCCGCAGGTTTCTGCTGAGGGGTTCCCTGGTGCCCTTGGCAGTTCCGGCACTTGGTCTCTGTTCTTGGTGACATCTTGTTTCTGCGTTGTTTTTCATGACTACGTGGGGCTGTGAGTGTCACTGTGATCAGTGCCCAGAAGTTCTTTTCTCAGATCCCCAGTTCCTATTAAGTCTTTGAAAACTGTTTTTCTTGCTGAGTAGCAAAGAGCCTTTATTTTCCACTTTCCTGCGTATGGAGAAAGTATGGGCTGTGTTCCAGTCAAGTGTATGGTGTGTAGTTTTTGCTGAAACCTGTGAACACAATTGCCTTGCTCAGTTTTGTTGTAAACTGACTCTCCACAAGGTGATGCACTGTTGACATGCTTCCCGATGTGTGTTTGATGAGGGTGATAAAATAAAGCTTCAAAATGAAGGAATGGCTTCCTTATTTCAACTCTGCATTTAGTGTAAGTATCACATTAGCTGACAGGTAAGTAGACTCACTTGGACCTTAACAACACGGCAGATTGTTTTTGTGAAACTTTATGTGTTTTTTAATTCCCCCTCCTGCATCCCATCATGCATTTGAACAGCCACAGCCCTGAGTCCCTTCTCAGCACAAGTGCACTGAACGCTGAGCAGACGGCCACTTAACACCTGGTGTTGACTGTGACATGCAGCTCCCTTCTGCAGTTTTCACAAGCAGGTGGGGATGGGCCGGGGCTGCACCGTGTGGCCACTAACCATTTCCACAGAGTATGTCAGGTCACACAGCTGTGTGTGTATTTATAAATTACATGCAGTGTCTGATGTCTCTGTGTGCTTCAGGATCTTCATTTGCATGTGAAATAGCAATCTGCTCAGACAGTTCCCAGGAGTGAGAGACTGAAAGGGTGTGTATCTAAAGAGAGCTGAGTTGAATGTGGCTGGAGTTGGGAGGACCTGGAAAGTCATTGTGACAAGGTCCTATGCACCCACCTGTGTGGCTGAGATGGACTGTAAAGCGGGAGGCAGATCGTTATGTTCCTGTTGGGACATGCTCACCAGACGGGAAGCAGAGTATTGCTGTAGAATAAGCACCTTTCTATCTTAAGACCACACATCTTGAAGAGAGCTCAGTGATAGATGAAGGGAAATAAAGTTGACTGTTTGCAGGAACCTTTTGAAGGTGAAGCTCTTAAAAAAGGGTGCTACATTTTAGGTGGAAATGAGCCATTTACAAACGCCTCAAACACATTTGGTCACCTGAGCAGCCCAGTTCTGTGCAGTTGGCAGTTTGTTGGGAGACAAATCTGCCATTGTACTTATTTTTGCTTAAAAAGGCAAACTGTATGTATAACTTTGTTAAATAAGATGTTCAAAGAGAAAGGATCAAGCGTGTAAAGGCTGATCTTTTAAGAACGAAAGCTCAAGTTTTGTTGAGCAGTGATCGCCTGAATTGGAATTGGAGAGTTTGCATTAGCACCCCCTCAGGTGTGTCGTGGAACACGGACCATCCTGTGGTGCTGGTGCCAAGAGAGGCTTTGGGGCAGGTGGGGTGGGAATTCTGGTGACAGCGGGGGTGGGGGAGTGGGAGGTGTGTGTGTGCTGCTGACTGGTCAGTTGGCAAGGTCCGAGCTAATAGCAGCATACCTGTCACCTGAATTCACCTGGTGTCAACACTGCCTCACATTCCCTTCACTCTTGTTCCCTCTGCCCTATGAATATAAATACATGTAAGTGTTTCCTGAACCATTTGAAAGTTGCACGCCCCTGTGCACATCAGTGTGACTCGCCTTGGAGCTGTGCCCTCTGTCACCACCTTTTCACAGCCTGGAATTGAGCTCTGCTGCAGAAATGTCCCAAATGCGGAACACAGGCAGCTTTTCTCAGTTGTCTCAACGTTGTCTATGACCTTCCCCTGCCCAGCACCCGTCAGGACTCTTGTATTTAAAGATCTATTGAGAATGTGTGGGATGTTGGTGTTTTACAAAACACAGTTTGGGGAAAACTAGACTGTATATTTTTATTTATTTTAAATATATCTTTATTGATTTCAGAGAGAGAACAGGAGAGGGAGAGAGAGACAGAAACATCAATGATGAGAGAGTCATTGATCAAGCCCGCAACCCGGGCATGTGCCCTGACCGGGAATTGAACCCCGATTGCCTGGATCCTAGGTCGACGCTCAACTGCTGAGCCACGCCCAGCCTGGCTAGACTGTATATTTAAATGTGTCCCTTTTCTTGTCAATCATTGCTGACACTCCATTAAACATGCTTTTCCTTTACGGGAAGCAGTGTTGACTGGAGTGTGTCTTCCCTTTGCTCTGTGGGTGCTGAGACCCAGAGCTACCTGACTGACAGTGAGCACCATGGAGAAGTGCAGTTTCAAGAGTGAGCCTGGAAAACAGCCTGTGCCACCTGCTAACAATGTCAAACCCACTAGAGATTTTTAAAGTTCCTGTTTCTAATTCCATCTTATAAATTCCATGCTAAACAAAAATTTGGAAAAACAGTATGTTTCTTCCTCTCTTTATGTCGCGGGAGGGGGGACTGGCATGCTGAAGATGGACAGGCTCAGGGCCTGCACTGAAGAGGATGTTGTGATGGAGTGTCTTTCAGAGGAAGGAACAAGTAGGATCCAAAGGACCCTCACAATTGACAGGTGTCCCCGTGGGCATTCAATAAAAAAAGTACCCAAAGTTCCATGACAAATAATGCTGAACACGAGTATAGGAGTCATGCCAGAAGAATCCCAGGCTGCCGCTGACTCAGGCCTCACAGCCGTGTGTGAGGCCGAACCAAGAAGTGCGTCCGGTGTCCCGAGCAAAGCCAAGGGCTGCATCCTGGATTCTGCGTTCTGAGCAGGTGTGTGGTCGCCTCAGGGCCACTTGCCGTTGGTCTTTCCTGAAAGCAGGAGTGCTGCTCATGAACACTGGAGGTCTCTCTCACAGTCCTGGATATCGTCATTACTTAATATTGTTAGGCTAGTATGATGTTTATAATCTTAATCATATGTTGTCATTTGGAGTTGGAAATTGTTTTAGCCAAACCAAAGGGTAATTTCTACCCTCAGAAGTAACAAGTCTAACTTCCCTCCAGAATTGTGTCTCGGTAGCTCATACTGTGTCCTTTCTGATGACCTAAGTGACAGCCATTCCAACCCATACACTAAACACAGTAACCTTGCAAACCTATTGGATGTCCCGCTTCGGGGGACGCCTCCATCTCATGACCACACCCGGCCTGTGGTCTGCTGCCTGTCCTGTGTTGCGTGCAGCTGAGGTGCCAGCTGAATGGAACCGGCCAGGTCCAGTTGATGAGAAGGACACAGGTGGGTTCATGCAGTGTGAACAGTGCCACCAGGTCTTCCACGTGGGAGTCGTGCATGTCTCAGCACTGTCATGTGCAGTCCGTTCAGTCCTCCCATCAGACACATCAAGCATCTTAAATCTCAGATGTTACAGCCATTGTCGGCGACATATTTGGAGCATGTAAGTCTCTTGCTTAAATGGTCAGTAATCTCCCTGCCTTCAAGCTTCATTCTGCCAACAGAGTTGAAAATTCCTAGCACTTCTGGAAGCTTCAGTGGCTCCCCAAGTGTGGGCAGTGTTCCTCAAACTTTCCTAATCTAGAAATTACCTGGGATGCTGAATCAAGTAGATTCCAGCTCATTCCTCCCTTCGGTCAGTGCATTTGTGAGAGGACCTGGCTGCCTCTGTTTTTAAAGTATTCTGGTTGCTTCCAGTGTTTACCAGACTCCTCTCCCTGGGCCCTGCTCTGTCCTCACCAGCTGTGGCCTGGACATGGGACCCAGTGTTCCTCACCTTCCACTTCCTACCCCGCTGCCTGGCCGCCCACTACCACCGATCAGCCTGAGAATCTCATGCTCTGTCTGTCAGACTTTTTCACACTAAGCATTTCTCTGTCCCCGTGGCATGCGAGACCTCTGAGGTGGCTGTCTTACCTTACAGCTCAAAGGACATGTAATAGGGATGCTACGTTATTTCTACCTGAGGGTGAGGAAGCGGAACACATACCCCTCTGAGTCCTGTCCTGAACTTGTGAGAGAAAAGTCAGCAGGTGGAGCTCAGTTGGATACCGACCACGGACGGGGCAGCCGGAGAGCGCAGTTCAGTGCCCGGTGATGACACGCTTTGTAACTGCGGCACAGAAGAGGATACCCATGACAGCCTCCCTGTGAATGCAGGGCATTAGGCTCAAGCTCACTGATACCAGGTCCCAAACTCAGATTGACCAGTCAGTTCTGTTCCTCAGGAGATGACTGAGCAGGGGAAAGCGAGGGCAGGAGGGGCCTCTGTAGCAGCCTCTCCATGTGGGACACCAAGTAGAACTATGTCCCCTAACACTGAGGGCTCCCAGCTGTGTCAGCCGCGCTCTGGTGACAGCAGTGTGGAGCTGGAACTCTTACCCAAGTGCCTCACTTTGTGCTCAGGCAAAGGGAATTCTGCCGCTCAGAATGGCTTCCATGCACTGGTCTGTACCTGTTCACGCACATGACAGTCATTTCCTTCTTCCTGTCTAAGGAAAGGGCGGAGTCGGCTGGTTGGCTGACCCGGAGGCCACGAAAGGTCCTGCCAGGCCTTGTCTCTTGCAGCCTTGGTTGGTGTCCCGTGGACGTAGAGGGTCAGGGTGAGGGAACGGCTCCTTTTTCCTTCTCCTGCCTCTCCTTTTAAGTGCTGTATTTCACCCAGTGTCTTTCTGGACAGAGCATCCCATCTTGCCAGCTTACAAAGGCCAAAGCACTGGGGTCAAAGACAGATGGCCAGATGCCACACGTGTGAGAGACAGAGAAGGACATTGGGGCAGAGGAGGTGGAAGTGACGTGGGCTGAGTGTGCCTAATAAAGGGCTGTGTGACTTCATATTGCTTATGTGACTTTCACAAGCTGCTCAACTCTGCATGCTTTGGTGTCCCCATTTGTAACTATTTGCACCATAAACTATGACTGAGGAGCCCTCGGGAAGAAATAGTTCTGTTCCTTTCCCTGGGTTCCTATTGGCTTCATTACTGCTCATGTCAGGCAGCGAGTTGGGCTTTTCACAACCTTTCCTTCAATTTTAGTTATGTCTCTGACTCTGGGTTTGGCGCCCAGCTCTTCCTGACCATGCTCGATAGAAAGAACATCCCAAACAGCCGGATTTTTGGAAAATCCATAGTTTTTATTTCTAACAGGTATACATTTGGAAAACTCACTTCTACTTGGAAGGGCAGGACCATGCATCAACTAAATGTGTGGATCCAGAAACGTCTGTGAAGGGCTTTGCTTCTTCCTCTGTTATTTCTGTATTTTTCCCTAATTGCTTACGCCTGTCATGGAGTGATGAACTATAACCAGTATTTCCTTTACTGCGGCCACCAGTCTCGTGTTTCATAGGAAGTTATTCTGTATTTGAGTTACCCTCAGTGCAGTTTCACTGTCATTCACGATG